ACCATCAGTGCCAACCAAGAGCTGAATGGCAAAAACTAACGAGTTTCGTGATCAGGTGGTAGAAACACTGGGCAGCCAGAGAGGAGGCGGTCCAAAACAACGAGGAGGCGATGGGGGGAGGGATCGTAATGCGAACGCATGCCGTCATCCTACCATGGGTCCTAAGGCCACCGTTAGACGCCGTTAGCGTACAGCAAGCATGAATCTGAACTGATTTGCAGACCAGATCCGTGCTCAATTGTCCCCGCTTAGTACAAGCCGTGTCTCGAGGCGAGAAGTAATTTAATTTAATAGACTCAATGGCTAGGCGAGACACGGAGACGAGGAAGAAGAAGATGACCCAAAGCGAAGACCGCTTCGCAGAGCTCAAGAGGGAAACACGAAAGGGGGAGGAGTGGACGGGAGGGGAGCGACCGGAGAGGCGGAGAAAACGCCTAATCATGAAACCGTACACTAAACACGAACAAAACAGCTATATAAACTGGTAGGAACGGACCACGAGAACGAGAACAGGTGGGAAGCATGAAAGACAAAAAAGCAAGGAGGAGAAAAGCAACTGCAGAGAAGTCTAACGAGAACGGACTGCGTGAAGGGACAAGGGGAAAAAGAGACGGAAACACGAGTGAAGGGCACTTGGCATACAGAGGGAGGGGGGAGGAGGGGGAGGGGAGGAGGCAGGAGACCGGAGGCAGAAGGAAGGACGAGGGAGGAGGGAGGAGGTAGGAGGCCGGAGGCAGGAGGAAGGACGAGGGAGGGAGGAGGCCGGATGAGGGAGGAGGGAGGAGGCAGGGGGCCGAGGCAGGAGGAAGGGTGAGGGAGGAGGGAGGAGGGAGGAGGAAATAAACAGTTATAGGAATATGACGTAGGTTAAAAAGGAAAGCGAAAAAATAGCGAAGGGAGAGGATAAGATCGGGACCGTCAGATTGAGGAAAGCTTAGCAGTACAGAAGGATTGAGGACTAAAACGCAGCACAATAGCAACAATAGATTGAGGAACTGTCAGATTGAGGAAAGCTTGGGAGTACAGAAAGTGTGCCCCGGGAGAGGGAGGGCGCACGAGCGAAAAGCCGTAGAAGACTTTAGGTCAGATCGTTCGCAGAGGCCGGAAGTGTACGGACGATACGTACGGACGGACGGAATGCAGAACAGAGGAATGCAGAATGGAGAAAGTGCGATACGTACGGACGAAAACGGGAGACGTAAGATCTATAAGAGGAGATGGAGACAAGCCGCTGACACGAACAGGTGTGTGAGAGAGGAAAAAGTGGACACCCACGGAAAGAAAGACACCGAGGAGAAGAGAGAGATGAACAGCCAGAAAGGACCAGCTTCCGGGACAAGGATGTGGATTGAGACCGAGCTTTAGGGACAAAGCATGTGAACAGGAAAGGGGCGGCAAGGAGGGGAGGGAGGACGAAAGGAGAGAGGTCAGAGGACGGAAAGCAAAGACAGAAGAGAGATGAGTGAGTGAAGAACTGGTAGGAGAGGGCAGCAGCGATAAGGGAGGAGGAGAGACGAGACAGGAGAGAGGAGAACAGAGAGGAGAAGGAAGCATAGGGAAAACGGAAAGAAAGGCGAAGAGAGGGAGAGAAGGAGAGAAGAGAAGGAGAGAAGGAGAGAAGGAGAGAAGGAGAGAAGGAGAGAAGAAGGAGAGAAGGAGAGAAGGAGAAGGAGAGAAGAGAAGAGGAGAGGAGAGACAGGACAGAGGGGAAGGAAAGAGGAGAGGAGGAGAAAGGAGGCTGAAGAAAAAGACGGTCGCAGAAACACTTGTCAATCGGACAACGATGAGGTAAGAGCGCGCACATTGAGTGAGGGAAACAAAAAAGAAGAGGCGAAGGGTGGTGGGAAAACGCTTGACAATTACTACTGGATATGGCCAGGTCAAGACCCGTCCCGCCAAAATTAGTGAGGAAGGAAGAGAGGGAGAAAGACGAACAGTGAAATCTACAAAGAGAGCGAAACCACAGAGAAAGAACAAGTGAAAGGGCGAGCACAAGCGACAGGAGCCCGGGAACAGGCAACCAATACGCCAGAGCAGAGCCAACCAATTACGTCGCTAGATGAAGAGGGGGGGGCAAATACCGCAGTGAGAAACAATAGATGAAAGGGGGGGGGGGAAACCCTTGCAAACCCGTGTGGATCACGGAGGAGAAGGACAGCAGAGCACAGACAACGAATCAGACTACTAGGAATGAGGAGAGAGGCCATAAATAACAGGAGAAAAAGCTCAGAGCAGACGGCAGAGAAACAACCACCAAATCGATATCGGTGAGCATAAGGAAGGGGGTTGCACTCATATCAGTCCACATGCCCCCTTACATCCACCCACACCACCGGCGACACATCCCTTCTTACATCCACGCGCATATGTCCACCCACTCACACACACCCAACGACACATCCCTCCTTACCTCCACCCACAGATGCTCACCCACTACCACACGGCGGATGTAATTACGCTAACATCGCCAAACACATCCCTCCTCGCCTCTACGAGCAATGACAAAATATTCAGTATCAAAGAGTGGTTGCGGTGTCTAGATATATATATTATCACATGATATCAGAGCGCCTAAGCGAAAAAACCAAAAAAACAAAAAAATCTTAAATTCGTTTTTAATCTTCTTCCTTACAACTCCCCCTGTTCAGAACCTCTTGCGTACAAGGCCGCCCACGTGGATGTAGGTTGAGCGGCGGCTGCCCCCACCCCCGTGTGTCATATCGACCCACTTGCACACAGCCAAAAAGCAAAGATGCAAAGAAGAGAGGAAGGGAACAGCCAAATGAAACAAATAGAACAGAGGGAAACAAGACAGATCCCACATGACAAGTCCCACATATATATTCCATAAGACAAGCCACAGCAGAAGTCATAGCCGCCATTCCGTCTTGCAAATGTGTTAATGTACCATTACCCAATTCATGTCCCGATGCAGCTCCTCCGTGTCACATCATTAGCCCTCAGTTCCAAACGTAGGGCACGTGTGAAAACAACTTGACGCAGGAGATCTTCTCAGAACAAGACACAACGCGCGCAGCGAGTTAAGAGCGCAGGGAATCTGGAGACCGGCCAAGCCCCACTCCGTACGCGAGCCCCCCACTCCACACCGCATGCAGCGAATTTTAAGCGGCTCAGCACAAGCCCCACTCCACACCTCTTTGAATTTACATACCAATCAGTTTTGGGGGGGAGGGTTAAAAGTTTAGCCCATCCATTCTTCGCGGCGCTGGAAGAATGGAGGATCATGAGGAAAGGAGGAAAATGTTCAGTCCATGAATCGCGGCCATGGGAATGAAGGATCGAAGGGTTTGACATCTATCTAAGATCCAAACACGTTTTTCAGACCATTACGACACGTAATGGTATGGAGTTCCAGGTGTAGGGGAGAGGGTGACATGGAACAGGGAGAGTTAGGCAAGCGCCACACCAAACCGGCAAGGAGGGCGTAAGCACGTAAAGAAGAAACAGAGCCAAGGCGAGAGAGCGAGAGTAGAGAGGGATGGAGCAAACAACTCCAACGCTACCTCTTCCTCCCTTTACCATCACGCCATCGCTTTCGTTTTCTCTCCCTTTACCATCACGCCATCGCTAGAAACACAACACGCTTTCACGCCGTCTTCAACCCCCCTATCATTCCCGGCATTACTTTCCCTCTCCCTCTCCCTTCTCCATTTGCCTTTTCCACTCCATCTCCCTCTCTTTTCTCCATTGGCCTTTTCCACTCCCTGTAGAACCATTTGCAGCCATGGAAGCCGCAAACCAAACCTTCTCTCGCGCGCACGTGGTCAATCCAAGTGAAAGTATAGACCTCTCTCCTCTCACAGATGGAAAGCACAAAAAGCCCGTTCGCCACTTCCCTCACCAGAGCTTCAGTTCAGCGTCGAAGTTAACAGGTCAGAGAGGGAGACGACGCGCGGTAGAGGCGGGGAAGAGGCGGGGAAGAGGCGGGAAAGAGGCGGGGAAGAAGAGGGGAAGACGAGGGGAAGAAGAGGCCAGGAGGAGGCGGGGAAGAGGCCGCGAAGAGGCGGGGAAAAGGCGGCGAAGAGGCGGGGAAGAGGCATTCCAAACGGACCGGTCATGATAGTTTCAAACGAACTAACGACCGAACGACGGCGCGTGACGCTGCTCATCAATTCGTCAGACGGTAATGAACCCGCAAAAGGGTGCCGTCCGCTCCTTACAGATTCAAGCAAACACATGGTCAAAGAGGCTCTCTCTCTCTCTCTCTCTCTCTCTCTCTCTCTCTCTCTCTCTCTCTCTCTCTCTCTCTCTCTCTCTCTC